GGAGCACCAGGCTCCAGCTCTGCATCCATCCTAGTGATTCTTAGACCTGGGATGCTCTCCCAGCCACCCTCCCCATGCCTACAACCAGCTCTGCAGCACCCCACAGGTAAGAACACAGCCCCAGCTGAGCCACAAGTGCTGCAGTCGCTATGGAGACCCTGCCTGAGATGCATCAATATGGAGAGGAACAGCTTGTTCTTCATGTCCCCATTCAAAGGATCAGTGAGCACATCACCTCCAGATGGACCCTCCACCCTGGCATGGTCCCTGCTGACACCTCAGAGCTCAAAGGGACCACACCAGGCAGTGATGCCAGGAGGTCTGTGGTCCTTCTCTGGCGAATTGCAGCTCCAGCTCACATACCTGCATGCTGGAGCCCCGGGCTGTCTTCCAAATTCAGCATCACTATGGGATGAACCCAGATGGCAATAGAAGGGTTCATACAGGGAGGTCTGTAGAACAAAGCCATAGGGTGCCCAGGTCTGGGAAGGGGGATATTGGTGGAAGCATCCCCTACAGGTGCCCCAAGACCATGTTATGGCTGCATGGGGCAGGATGCGACCCTGAGAGAGCTGGAACCAGCTCCCGCTCCGTGGCAGGGTGACATACGGGAGCAGCAAAGGAGCCCCTCAGGCAGTTCCCTCGAGACAGGAGTCCTTGTCCCTTCAGGAAGCCTTGTACAGGAGCTTTCTGAGCATCCTCCGCACTCCACATCCCCTTACAGAGGTCAGCACACAGCAGCACACAGGGCACTAAAGCCACCACGTGGCAGCATCAGCCCATAGAGGGAGGGTCAAAGCTAGACACAGCCAGCCCGCTGCCTGCCGCGGTAGGGCGAGAGAGGGAGTTCTTTACGTGGAGCCAGAGGTGAGGAGCCAGGCTGCAGTGAGCTGCCGAGCTTCGGTGGGTCCCGCTCTGCTGCCGATGGGAAGGGGGGACCACAGCAGCAAAGCAAAGTTCAAGTGCCACCTTCTGCAAGGGGCAGGCCCAGCCTGTTGGTATGGGTGGGATTGGGCAGGGATCGGGTCCTCATCCCTCTTTGCCTACACATGTGCTGCGGGAGATTCCACGTCTTCCAGCAAAGTTGGTGTTCAGGAGCTATTTGGGAGTTATACCCTTATGTGGAAACATGTGCCACTCTGGGAAACAGGTAGCTGGCCACCAAGAAGGAAAACCACAAAATCTCCGTAAAAGCTGCTTCAGCAGCATGGCTCAGGTGACATCTCCTCCTCATCCCCATCCCTCTCCGCTATTTGACCATCTTTAGGGATACAGGGTGATGCCAACTACTCTCTGTGTTAATAGTTGTTGCATCTTCTTCCAGTGAGGCTGTTACAGGGGGAGAACATGTCTGTCTGCACCAGCTAAAGGTGCCTGCAAGTGCATGTGCTTGTTTCTCATCACTCTCCATGGCTTACAGGTTTCCATGGTGCCCAAACACTACACTGGGCAGTGCCCTGTCCCATTCGGTTGGTGATGCTAGCGTAGAGAAACCCTCTTCTTTCAGGCCATCTGCTGCCTGGAGGCTTTAGAGATTTTAATTGTGCTCTGTCTCCCATCTCCATCCTCAGCGATTGTCAAGACCAGGGTGGGTAACACCCTGAGCCGGGTCTGACCTTTAAGCTGGCCCTGCTGTGACTGTGGTTGCATCAGAAACTTCCTGAGGTCCCTCCTGGCCAGGATTACCCTAAAAGCATCTCACGCCAGTGGTGTTGCTCTGTCCTAATCTCGGTGGGATCACTCCTGTGGGAGAGCAGCGCCCTCCAGCCATCATTTCCCCACCTTACTCTGAGGCTTGGGCCAGGCAGGCCTTCCCACAGCCCCTGTGCTTCAGCCAGACCTCAATCTTCAGTGCCACAGACAAACATCCTCCTGCCAGCTCTGCCTGTACCTCCTCATCCTCTGAAGGCATGAAGTCCCTGAATGGGGTTCCTGAGCCCCCTATCCGCTCAGCCTGCCTTTCCTTGAGCCTCCTACCAGGGACCCTGATGCATTGGTCCACCGAGAAACATCCTGCAAAGGGTTAAGTACGTGGTGCCTGGGGCTCTTTATTATGAGTTACCAGCCCAGCTCCCTCACCAGAGCCTGCAGTGGTGGCCCAGGGCTATGGTGCTACCATCTGCCTGGGTGTCTCCATAACCTGCCAGGCTCAAACCAACCTTGGTGTCACCCCAGCCTCATGCTGGGACTCAGCAGGTTGTGGCCTCACCCCTCAAGAATCATACTGGTCAGTGCTGATGGAAACGTTGCCACCCTTGGTATCTCTCCAGCACCCACTCCTGTCTTTGCCCTCCCAGCCGGAGTTCTCGCCCCCACCACTGCTATCCCAGCTCCCGGTGATTTTTGGTGGGAGAAGCTTGCCTTCTGCCTTGGTACAGATGGACACAGCCCTGGGGAATCCAGTCACTGCCCCTGAAGGAGGGGGATCACAGGGATCTGCATCCACACAGCCTGGCAGTCCCCCACCCACGGCTCATGGGCCACCCGCAGCATGAACCCTGCCCACCATGGGGCAACACTGGAGGGGTCCCCAACACCCCAGTGCTCCCCAGCAGGCGCAGCAGCATCCCCACTGTGCTGGCTGCTGGTGCTTGTGTGTTACATGCTGTCCTCATGCAGAGGCTGCTCAAATCCTGCCACAAAACTGCTTTATGCTCCCAGTCCCATTAGGAGCACCAGAGGTGCATTCCCTGCCTGCACCTACCGGGCAGCTCCCGGTGCCTGCCCCTTGCTGCCAGGGCGGCAGACCCTCCATGTGGACCAGTGGGGCAGCTCCTGGCACCATGGTGGGTTTGCAGGGGCAATGCAGCACCAGCACCAGCCTCCCAGTAGGAACCAGTACTCCTAAAGCACATCAGTGCCCAGCTGGGGCACAGGCACCTGCTGCCCCAGGACACCCAGGGGAGCCCCTGAAGGTGGGTGAAGAGCCACAGGAGCTCATGGCTGCTTTGCAGGTTCACTTCCCAGGCAGGAAAAGCCATGGGGGTGGAAGGACCCGCTCCCTGTACATGAGACTGAAGTGCTCACACCATAGTGATGTTCAGAGGTGTGCAAGGGTCCAACTCACCCTCCAGCCCTGTCCCACTGCTCAACTCCCCTTCACCTCCACCCTGTCTCTCTCAATCACATCATTTTCAGCTTTCCATCTGCATGCATTGAGCAGACTCGCTCTAATCTGCTCACAAGCAAACACGCAGGGTAGAGAGGCCCCAGGAAGACCCCACTGTCAGCTCATGCTGAGAAAGGCACCCGAGGATTCAGCTTCCCAGAACAGCAGAACATCACCACAGGCTGCTCCACCGGCAGGTTTTGTCACTTGGAATAACCGGCCACCTCTCATCCACTGGAGCCATGGATGCAGCTCCTCACCCACCTCAATCACTGTGTGCTCCCAGCCCGCTGGAACAGTTTTGGGACAAACATATTTTCACTAATTAAATGCATGTTCTGATGCATACAGCCAGCAGCAGTTTGAGTGCAAGTAAACCTGGCATCCCAGTGCAGGACAGGGCCAGCATCAGCTTTTGTCACATGGTGGCTCCAGGCTGGGGCACACTCTAGCTGGGGCAAAGAGAAGAAACCCAGAGGAGTTCCACTGCCGGTCTTTGGGCAGGTCCCCGGGGGCTTTCAGGGAGTGCTCAGACACCCTTTTAATCTCCTCTGCATGCTCCAGTGATAGGAAAACACCAGTGCCAAGATGGTGTTCCCCTAGTTTGGTGGGTCAGCACAGACTGCCATGCTTCACCAGGCTTGTCCCACGGCTTGGGGCTGGGTGATGTGACCAGTGGCATGGGCTGTGTCCCTGTGCTGAATCCACCATCATCCTGGGGTCAGTGTCCCCAGGCAGCCCACCCTGGGCTCTGCATGGTGACGGGCTGCACCACAGCACCCAGTGCAGGGGAGAGCCATAGCGGCACCCAGCCTGGAAGGTAAAGGACCCCCATGACTTTCCCTAGGCTGCATTGCGGGGCGGGGGAGGCTCTTGGGGAGCAGGCAGAGGTCTGGACCCACCTTCCCATCCCCATGGCTCACAGTCTGGGGGCTGCAACACATCCCTGTCCCCGTGTGATGTAACCCTGGGCAGGGCGGGACGCCCATCCCCGAGCGTCCCCGGCTGGACCTGGACCCTCATCCCCGTCCCCGGGTGTTGCACGGGGGGCTCGGCGGGGCTGTGCCGGAGCTCCGGGGGGACGGGAGACCGACACCCCCGGCGCCCGTCGGGGCGGCCCGAGCCCCGGGAGGCGGCACCGCCCCCTCACCACCCCCCACCCACGCCCCCCCACCCCGTCGGAGCCCGGCGCTGGCGGGAGGCGGCCGCGGTGCAGAAGCGGCTCGCTTGCCGCCGCGCTCAGGTAGCGGAGCCGGGACTGCCGGTGACACCGGGGCTGCCGGTAACACACACCGGGGCTGCCGGTAACACACACCGGGGCTGCCGGTAACACACACCGGGGCTGAGGAGCCGCCGCCGCCGCCGCGCAGGGTAAGCGCAACCCGGGAGGAGGGAGAGCCCCCCGGGCACCGGGGAGCGGGACCGGGGAGCATCCGCGCTACGCGGAGCACGGGTGGGCACAGCCCGGGGGGGGTCCGTGCTGGCCGGGGAGCCGCGGGGAGACCTGGGCTGCTTCTCCCCACGGAGCGCCCGCTGGGGCTGCGGGGTGTTCTGTGAGAGCAGCAGTGGGGCAGAGGGAGGGTCCCGTCCTGGCGGGCAGGCAGCGGGGCGGGGGGAGCACGGAGACGTCTCCTTGCCTTCCCCTGGGCTTGGTGGCAACAGGGTACCCGTGGGTGCCGGGGTGAGCAGCGGTGGCACAGGGGCTGTCACACCGCTCACAGGGGTGGCTTCTGCTCCCCTGGCCCCTCGCTGGCCCAGGGCTGGCAGCGGTGCCGTGGAAGCTCTGCCAAGAGACGGGATCCCGTTGTGCCCCGGCTCCTCTGCCTGGTGCTCCCCGAGGTTTTGGCTCCGGCAGGGAAGTGACGGGAGCTGTGGCAGGCCAGGACGTGCCTGCAGCTGGCACTCACAGCCTGGTTCTCTGCTGCCTCCGGGAGCACATCTCCTCCTCTGCACACCCTCAGTCCACCCCCTCTTACCCAGGATCCAGGTCCTCAGCTCAGCCCAGGACGTGCCCCAGCACTGGGAGCACCTGCCAGTGGGGCAACCATGAGGGATGTGCTCAGGCCTGGGTACCGACAGAGCCTCTTCCATCTCGCCTGGATGTGCCTGCTCTCCTCCATGCCGGTAAGGGGCAAGCTGGGACTGGCCCATGGGGCAGCAGGGTTGGCACTGCTGGTCTTTGACCCATTGTGAATGGGTTCGGTCCTGGCTTGGCTGTGTGTGCCTGCCCATCTCGAGGCAGGAATCACTGGGGGGATACCTGCAGCCTCCTCGGGAGCCACCTGAGGCTCTGAGCCAGTTTTGGGCTTGCAGCAAGGTGGGGCCAAGGTGCTGGAGAAGACGTTCGAGGAGTGGATGCGGTACCGTGACGAGTGCTTGAGGAGGATGGCGAGCGAGCCCTACCCGGCAGGTACCCTCTGTGCCCCGGCTCAGGTCACATGGGAGGGCACGTGGAGCTGGGTGGCAGTGGGGCTGGGGCCAGGTTTTATCCTTCCTCCAGTATCCCCTATGCTAGTCACTGATGGAGGGATGCGCTGGGGGACTGACGAGTGTCTCCACATCTCAGATGAGCTGCCCAGGGCCGGGGTGTCCTGGGGGATCTGAGGCTGGTGTGGGGCACCAAGGACCTGTTCAGGGTGATGCCCCCTCAGAGATGCTGGCAGTGGGCTGGGGTGGCAGGGCTGGATGTGGCTGTACCACCAGTATTTTACCATTGCCTTTCCTCCCTCGCTGCTGTTGGAAGGGATCTTCTGCAACCGGACATTTGACATGTATGCCTGCTGGCCCGACGGGAGCCCTGGCATCACCGTCAACGTCTCCTGCCCCTTTTACCTGCCCTGGTTTGAGAAAGGTGATTATGACTCTACAACTACCTGAAGGGAAGTTTTAGTGAGGTGGAGATTGGTCTCTTCTCCCAAGTAACAAGGGGTAGGACAAGAGGAAATGGCTTCAAGCTGTGCCAGGGAAGATTTAGACTGGATATTAGGAACAATTCCTTTCCCAAAGGGTGCTCAGGCATTGGAGCAGGCTGCCCAGGGCAGTGGTGGAGTCACCATCCCTGGAAGTGTTCACAAACCCTGTAGATGAGGCCCTCAGTGACATGGTTCAGTGGTGGCCTTGGCAGTGCTGGGGAATGGTTGGACTTGATGATCTCAAAGGTCTTTTCCAACCTAGTTATTGCTATGCTTCTATGACCCTCTGCTGGCCTGGAGCTGGAAGCCAGGGCTGAGCATGCTGGGAGGTGGGAAGTTGCTCCTGGGGTTTTCCCTCTTGTCCACTGCTTGGGGAAGAGGAACCCACAGCAGAGCTGGGTGTGAGGTCATGCATGGAGCATGGAACAGAGCCACATCTGCCCTGGCAGAGGGTCTTTGGGGCTGAGTAGAACCTGACCCACCATAGCAGGAGCAGGGTTTGGGGGAACGCAAGGGGAACGCAGTGTTGGTGTCCGCAGTGAAGTACGGGCTGGTGAGCCGCAGGTGTGGCCCCGACGGGCAGTGGGTGACGGTGAACGGCAGCCAGCCCTGGCGCGACTACTCACAGTGTGAGGAGGAGACAGCGGCCACCGTGGAGGAGGTGGGTGCCCTGGCCCAGGCACGCAGCGCGGTGCTGCTGGCCCCGGCTCACCAGCGCGGTGCTGACCTGCAGGAGGGTGCCCGCCGGCTGATGGTGAGCTTCAAGGTGCTCTACACCGTGGGGTACTCGCTGTCACTCCTCACTCTCGTCTCTGCCCTGCTCATCCTCACTGTCTTCAGGTAGGAGACCCAGGGCACATGGTCCTGCCCCTTGTCCTCCCCACCAGTGGCAGCTGAGCTGAGGGGTACCCCCCACGCTCTCACTGCTGCAGGAAGCTCCACTGCACCAGAAACTACATCCATGCCAACCTCTTCGCCTCCTTCGGGCTGCGGGCGACCTCGGTGATGGTGAAGGATGCACTCCTGGAGAGGCGCTGGGGCATGGAGCTGGTGCAGGTGGCTGACTGGGAGGCTCTGCTGAGCCACGAGGTGAGTGCTGCCCCATGGGGTCCCTGCATGGTGCTGGGCTGGGATCACCCCAGAGATGGGTGTGCGGTGGGTGCTGGTGCTCACGCAGCCACAGGAATCTGCAGAGTGAGCTCGGGGGGTGCCCATGCCCCTGATGGGGGAGCTCTTGGGGTGCCTGTGCCCGTGGATAAGCCCATGGGGTGCCCCATGGTGGGTATCCCCTCACAGGTGGCGCTGGGTTGCCGGGCCGCGCAGGTGCTGATGCAGTATTGCATCCTGGCCAACCACTACTGGTTCCTGGTGGAAGCTGTCTATCTCTACAAGCTGCTCATCGGGGCCGTCTTCTCCGAGAAGAATTACTACAGGCTCTACCTCTACCTGGGCTGGGGTAGGGGCCACTCGGGCATGCGGTGGGGCTGGGGGCAGGACCTGGGGTTGGTGTGGGTTGTGGCCCTGAGAGGGTGCAGGGAGGGGGCTCTGCTGACCCTGGGTGTCCCCACGGTGCTCCCTGCCCCGGGACTGGTCTCTGAGCTCAGGTGGGTGCTTGATTTTACAGGGTTTGCTGTGTGACTTGCAGGGACCCCCGTGCTGTTCGTGGTGCCCTGGGTGGCCGCCAAGTACCTAAAGGAAAACGCGGAGTGAGTGACAAGAAATGCGGGGTCCCGATGGGGTGCTCAGCCCAGGATGGGCAGTGGGATAGAGGCTGCTATGGGTCCCTGACCCACTGAGCTGGGGCTGGCATGCTCTTGGCCTCATCCTGCCCCCATGCATGGTGTGATGGTGCTGCTCTCCCTGTATCCCTGCACAGGTGCTGGGCACTGAATGAGAACATGGCTTACTGGTGGATCATCCGCATCCCCATCCTGCTCGCCTCCCTGGTATGGGCACCATGGCCCCATGGCTTTCCCAAGAGCAGCAGTTCTCCAAGGCATCGTGCTAAACACAAGTTGTTTTGTGCACCAGCTTGCTAATGCACGAGTTCTGGGAGCCTATGGAGGGGTGGTTGTGCTGAGCCCCACAGAAAGGGGCTGGGTGTGGCCCCTGATGCTTCCCAGCCAGGATTTTGGGATGGTGGGAGGGGAGGAAGCTCTGGGGACCCAGTGCTGCTGGGCTGTAGCAGCCTCAGCAGTTATGGGAGTGTCATCTCCCACAGCAACCCAAGGGTGCATATCGTTGTCAGGGTGGGCTGTGCCCGGCTATGCAGGATGGTGTGCATGCAGAGTGCTCAAGTGTGCAGGGTGCTGGGCTGTGTGGGCCCCTGCACTGTCTCCTCCCGCAGATCAACCTGCTGATCTTCATGCGGATCCTCAAGGTGATCCTGGCCAAGCTCCGGGCCAACCAGAAGGGCTACGCAGACTACAAGCTGCGGTGAGCTGGGAGGGTCATGCGTCCTCCTGCCACCTCCTACACCGCCTCCACCTCCCCATCCACCCCTACCCTGCACCACCATCCTGTACATCGGGAAACAGCCACCCTAAGATCACCAAAAAGCTTGTCCCTGACTGTATTTGTGCCCTAGCACTTCAGTACTCTCTGCTAGAGGAGTCCACTTATTCTCTTTCAGGCTGGCCAAAGCCACGCTCACCCTCATCCCCCTCTTTGGGATCCATGAGGTTGTCTTCATCTTCGCCACTGACGAGCAAACCACAGGCATCCTGCGTTACATCAAGGTGTTCTTCACTCTCTTCCTCAACTCCTTCCAGGTGAGGCAGGAGCCTTTATTCTGCCATGGGTACACCATGGAGCAAGAGCTGGGGGGGGGGGTCCTCTTCCAGCACATTATCCCCACCCCATGGGGACCTCCAGCCATGTCACTGAGTGCATGATGGTGCCTCCCGTGCTCTCTGAGGCTGTGGTGGCAGGGAGACCTTGGCCCTAAAAGTGCCCACAAGTGCTCTAGGGAAACTAGATCTATCTTAGCCCCAGTGAGGCTCACTCCCCTCCCCTGCTCACCCTCCAGGGCTTCCTCGTGGCTGTGCTCTACTGCTTCGCCAACAAGGAGGTACGCACAAGCCACAGCTTCTGCCCAGAGCATGGCTCAGCCCTGCCTCAGCCAGAGGCTTTGCCAACCCAGCCCTTGCTGCTCGTGCTGCAGGAGGGCACAGCCAGGACAAAGCCCCTCTCACTCCTGTCTGTGACAGGTGAAGTCAGAGATGAAGAAGAAGTGGCAGCTCTGGAAGCTCGACCACCCGATGCTCTGCTGTGCCCAGTGATGTGGCACTGGGCACTGCAGAGCCAGGGAGAGGGATGTGGTGGGTGCGGGGACCCGGCGGGAGGGCAGCACTCCTGGGATGGCCATGCTGGGACCAGCATCTCTGCTGTGCCACACCTGAGAGCACTGGAGCTGCTGGGGGGACGTTCCCCTTCTGCGGTCCAAAGTGAGGCAGGTGCCCTTGGCTGCTCCCTCAGAAGAGCCTCACCTCGCTTGGTGAGCTGCATGGGGGATGCTGCTCCTTTCTACCATCAGCTAGCTCTACTGGCACCCACCAGATGTGTTCATGAAACCCCCTTCCCATCCGCACCAACTTGGGCACCTCTAGAAGGGGATTGTGGCTGCGGGAGAGGAGCCCATCCATCAGCAGAGGACAAGCAGCAGCGAATGGGAGATACTGCTCAGCCCAGCACTGCTGACAGATCCACACCCCTTGCCTGGTGAACCAGCACCTCCTGCTGCACTCGGGGCTGTGCCAGCACTGCTCCCATCCAGGACACGACCTTCCTGCTCTCCTTGCCCTGAAGACCATTTCTCCAGCACACCAAGAGCTCCCTGACATCCATCCCAGAGCCATCCTGCACAGTGCCCTGTAAAGAGATGCTTCTGCTGCACCTTCTCACACTGCTCACACCTGGTACAGATCATAGCATCAGCTCTCCAGCAGCACAGATCTGCACCTCGGGAGTCCTTCCTCTGAGCTTCTCCTGCAGCAGATTCCCCAGCCACAGCCACAGCACTCATGTAGCTTCCTGCAGTGCTTGAGCACTTGGACTGCATTCACTCTGCATGTCAACGGCAGTGCTGCTGCTCCCTCAGTAACAGGGGAACATCACACGGGAGTGTGAAGGACCCAGCACCAAGCTCAGCACCAAGTCTGCAGCAGGGAGAGCCAGGAAGCCCGGGTAGGAGCCACACTTGGCTCAGGGACAGTTTTGCCGGCAAAAGGCTGGTGTGTCCAAGTACAGATGTTCAACAGCTGCCATTTGGGATGTTTGCTTCCCAATAGAGTGCCAAAGCCACAACCGCTGCCTCTTGCCAAGTGACTCCAGGGCAACCAAGGAGCACCTACACCTCTGCCTTGGCAAGTGAAACATCAAGGCTGTGTTGTTTGAGTAGTGCTGCATGTATCTGGCTTACAGCTCCTTTCCTGGCACTCTGCTCCCATGGGAGCAGAATGCAGCTCAGACGCTATTCCCTGACCCCCTTGCTCTTGCCCCTTCAGCAGCAACATAGCCATGCTGCTGAGTCTGTCGTTGCACTGCATGATGCTTTACCTTGGGAAAAGTCTGCTCTGGGAGGGAGGAAGCAGCTCTTGTTCTTCACTGCATGGATACAGGGGGCTCGACATCTCCAGTCCCCTCTGCTCTCAGCCTGGGACAGAGCCTTTTGCAGATGCAGCATCTCAAAGAAGGTAGCCTTGAATACAGGAAGGAAAGAGTATGTGCACAGCTCATCTGGGCCTGAGGCTAGAGAGGCATGCACGGGTGTTCCTGGCTCCTTGTAACCCCTCTGAGCCCATTTTACACATTAACTCTCTTCTCAGATGTAAATAAATGTTTATTTTTCAGCAGGCAGAGCATGTTGCTTGTCAGCCTTGAGGGAGGGGAACACAGAGGCAAATGCAGCCATATATCCAAGGGCACAGATTTGTGCTTCAGCACACACCCTCTCAGGGAGAGGGCATTAAAAAGATCCCCAGAGGGCCTGGCTCGACTCAGCCAGCCTCCCCCACTGCCCTGTGCTTCCAGGTGCTTGCTGAAATGCTGTGCAAGATGGAGCTGAGAAGAAACAGGTAACAGTTCTCACCACCGAGGACTCTGAATCTTGGCACAAGAGGAAAAGCTCCGGCTGCACACCAGCTCACGTGGTGGGCGGCTGTAGGACACAACACATCTAAGAAACCCCATTTATGTTGAAATACATCAAGAGCTTTAGTTTTGACCAGAAAGAAATGGTAATATTGCCCTATTCAAAGCTCTCCGTGACAGCTGCTGAATGGTGTACTCAGTATGTGGTTCTAGTGAGCAAGAAGTTGGGTGAAGGTGTGTAACAGTCACACCAACAGCTCACAAGTCTCAAAGCACAGCTGGGCCCAAGGTGACAGGAAAACACCAGCACACCACTCAACAAAGCTTAAACTTACTTCTGAGTTAGTGCAGAGAAACAGCTTTTCATCATGTAACTGGGACCGCAGGGGAGCGCAAGCAGTGATCCCAGCCAGGAAGGGAAGAGCTGAGCCCTCAGGGGAGCATCCACTGTATCACTCACCCGTGATCTTCCTCTACAGCCCTGGCACTGCCTGACCACATGAATTCCCATATCACATCCAGCAGGAGCCAGGCAGGGCTGGGAAGCCTTGGATAAGGCAGCCCCTATAGCCCTCAGCACACGACCACATGGGAGAGGAAGCTGGAAAGCACTGTATGCATTCCCAATCATCCTGAAGGAAATGAGGGAGGCTATTCATGAATTATACAACCTCACACACCAGAAACAGGTTTTCATTTTTTATTATTTCATCCAGGTCAGCAAACACTATTTCACTCGGACAGCACTGGACCCCCACTGCCTGCACAGCCCTGACTTCAGCTCTGCATGCCGTGTGAAGTGCCCCAGTGAAGGGACTCCCTCTCCTCAAGGTGCCACTGTCCTATAAAATCCCCTTCGGCTACTCTAACATCCCTTTAAGCCTTTACAGCTGAGCTCCTGCAGCACCTTTTTGTAGGGCTCTCCTTTTCCTTCACACATACACAGCTGCATCTCACTCACCCTTTTTCCCAGGCCCCCAAACATTATTATCTATTGGATGTATCCCCTTAACACTCCCAAACCCCTTTTCTTCCACCCTATGACCAAGCAAAGCCAGCCCAAAGAGATGTTAATGCTGCCCTTTTCAAAGCCAAGTCTGTGCAGTGTCTGCTTCCAGCCACCCTCTTTTCTACTCAGCTCTGAATGCATTGCTGAGCCAGGGCTTCCCCTACTCTCCAGATGCTCCCAGGCCTATCCACTTGGATTTGTGGGGTTTGGGTTGAGATTTCTTTTGCTTCCAAGAAAACTTTTCCCCTTTCCACACAGACATCTTGCCTTAAATTCAAATCTGGGCTTCTAAGGGACACAGCACTGACAATTATGTGCTAGTGCAGCCAGAGACAGCACCAAGGATCAGGGAGAGGGCAGTAAGTGCCTTGGCACTCTCCACCATTCCTCCAGCAAGGGGGAACAGAGGATAAAGCCCAAAATATCTTTTCCAGTACAGCCTCAATGCTCTGAGCAGCCTTCAAAGATGCTGCCTTAGCAGAATTGGCTCTACCTTACCAAAACTAGCTCTTTGGGGTGAAATTTTCCTGTCCTGGGAGATCACCTGCACCAGCACAAGAATGCCTTGGCAGAGCTATTTCCAAACACTAAAGCCTGTCAACCAAACACAGGCAGTGGTTGAGGAACAAAGCTTTGAACCACCACTGCACCTGGGATGATTTCTTTTGCTCATCTCCCATGTGGAATATATCTATCCCCTAGTTCCCATCCTGCCTGCCCTGGCCCTCTGCTGCTTGCCAGAGGCGTAGGAGACTGAGCAGTCCCAAACTCTGTTCTCTCTCATGTCCTTCCAGGGGAACATTGCCTTGAAACCACTGTCAGTGTTGGGATCTTGGCACTGACGAACCAGACAGGCAGAATCTCTGCCATAAAGCACCTACCACAAAAACAAGTTCCTTGGGACTGAATAACATGATCGCAAACAACCAAAGGACGGCCAGAATCTGAACCGAACCAGGGTAAGCTGGTTGGATAGAGAGGTTTTGAAATACACATCTAGGATGGCAGTGGAACAAATATTCCAGCTACGGACTGCTGCCTGAGCTTTGCAGACTGCTCACTTCATCCATCCTCAACAAACCTGCCTTCCTTATTGCTTTAAATACACTTTCTGGGCCTGTGCAATGATGCATTATCTGTGCCAATCCACATGGCATAAAAGGAGGCACAGCAAGTGTCAGAGGCCCTGGGGAGGATGGGATGCAGAAAAGGATAGTTAATTAGACTGCTGTGGGTAACTGTCAGCTGTCTGCCACTACACAGCCCTGAATGATAAGGACTGCAGGAAGCTTAAGGCAGATAAAACTTCTGGGCTCAGTGCTTCTCCTCATAACTTAACCTTTTGGTATGAGCAACCATGATCCTGGGAATGCAGACAACAGTCAGGTCCAAAGAGCTGCTGGATTGTGGTCTCCTGCTAACACTCCTCCTCCCAGGCATGTTCTCTTGCGGCTGAGACCTTCTTCCACACATCCACCAGCTGCTTTGGCCCTCCCAGGAGAGCTGCAGTGCTGCCAGCACGGCCCTTGCACTCACTCACCCAGGCACACTCAGCTTCCGGGTGGAACAGTCACCCGACGTCAGTATTCCTACAGCCACAAAAAGAGGACAGGCACGCTTTCAGTGGGACAGAGACAAGGGGGGGTAAGGCTTTTCCAAAGAGAAAACCAATCAGAGGGCACATAAGGATCAGTTAAAGTGCAGCCTCAATGTGCCTCACTCAGTGTGAGTGAGCACTGGGCACACTCAGCAGATGGCTGTTACTTGCTGCAAGGAATGATGTCTCCCCTCAGTGCCACAGCCCTCTGGCTGTCCTTAGCTCCCACTCACCCTCCTGCTTTGTTACGGATCGAGCCAGCTTTGCCCACTCTGCCCTGGGGATTGGAGCCTTTGGAGGTTTTGAGTCACAGTCTGCAGAGCTTTCCCTGAGGACCAAACAAAAGAAAAATAAAATGAATAAAAATCAGTGTTAGCAGTAGGCCAGCAAGCAGTAAAGAGCAGGCTGCAGTTTGCATTCAGACACTGTTATTCTGCCTCCAGGCTCCCTTTTCCCCTGCAGCTTCCAGTGTCTCAAAACCAGGAGTGTCTTTACTCTATGACTGCCTGTTGCTAGGACAAGTCCTGTCAGAGAACATGGCACAGGCTTTGGGAAACACTTCATTAGCAGCTCTGACCACAAAGCAGGAGAGACGCAGGGCCACACATCCCTCCTTTCTCAGTAGAGTATGAGGCGGAGCCCAAGATCTGCAGTGAGACCAAGTGCAAGGAAATGCCAGCACCAACTTTAGAACCTAGAGACTTCCCTCAGTGAGAGGGCACTGTTAGGTCCCCCCAAACTACCACTGCCAAATCATGAAAAACCTGTCCAGCCATGCCCCCCTCCAGCACAACAGTCACTTCATGTGCCCATAGTCGTCCCTGACCTTACCCATTTCTCCCACACGCTCCTCTAGGACAGCTGACAGCTCAGGCAAGCTGAGAGACTTCAGGGAAGGTGGCCATCCTTCCAGCACTGCAAGAAAGAGGAACCATACATTTAATCAATCTGCATGCTGTGACTGACAGAGACAAGGGTTTGGTGCAGATGCTGTGAAACATCCACCCCCAAAGTGGTTCCAGTCAGGGGTTCTGAGTCAGTCAGGGAGGAGAGCTAGAACTGCCTGTAACAAACTGAGGGGGGTTCCTGACAATCCTACCACTTAACTTTTTTATACTGTCTGGGTCATATATTAAGAGACTCTCAAAGAGATTAATCGTGGTGGACAGAGATCAAGAGAATCTGTACTTGACTCACTTTTAAAACACACGTAGCCAAGAGCACATCTCTAGAAGCATGTAATGGGCAGCAGGATTATTTGCTAACTCCTCATGATGAGCAGCTGGTGGGCCCAGCCACATGCAGCAGTTCCCCCA